TCTATTTATTTGCCTATTTTGAAATTCAAGGTGCTTAATTCTCTGTTTGTATTTGTTTATTTGATAAGTCAAATCACCAGCTAATAAAGATAGTTGCTGATCTATATTGGAAAATGGGAAATTCTTTTTATTTACTTGAGTTTCAAGAAGAAAATCATCAGAATGACTTGTTAAAGGCTTATCTACAATAGAACTTTGAGTAACAAAGCTTGAAAAAACATCATTAGCAATTTTCAAGTTTAAATAAGAAAATAAACTTAAAAAAGCAGAAGTATCATCTGGAACAAATTCACTAGAATTTGTTCCAGAAGATGTTTGACTAGAAGTAAGGATAGAACAATTAACAGAAGATAACAGATCATCAACTTTGTTAATCAAGCGAGATTATTTTTTATTTTAAGTATCTGTATTTTCATCAAGTCTTGAAGCAACCATTTATAGAGTTGGAAGCTACTGGAAGACCCAAGATGAAGATTAAAAAGCAAGATAAAGATTAACAGATGACTTAAAAGATTGTAAATTATATGAATCAGGAAAACAAGATGAATGGAGAGTATTACAAAAAACTGATGTTCTAGGAAAAAAATATACAAATAAAAATTTTTGGAGCACTTAGGAACAATAAAATACCATATTATTGTATACAAATACTAACTTAACAATGATTTGTATATAAGGTTTCCATAAAAGGTCAGTACAAAAAGGTAGTTAGAGAGGATTTAAAGTAGAAGATACAGTAACAATGTTTTCATTCATCAATATAGGAATATCAACAAGATTGCAAATACTTTTTTAAGACTTCGCCAGATACACCATATCATCCAGAGCAATAGAATGTGCGTCACCGCCTTTATCTAATATCAATTTCAAACCTTTCTGTAACAACAGTTAACAGGTCCAAAAACAGATTATTGAAATCCATATGTTTCCTATATCATCAACAAATAGAGCCAACTGCGAGTTTTTCAGGATGATTATTGATGTTGATTAAAAACGGTAAAAGGCTGAGGATAGAAGTTCACCTTGTTAGTTAAGTATTGACACTAGCGTGAATTTGCCGCATTTAATGCCTTGAATTCTTTAATAAAGAATTATACTTTCACTTTCAATTTTAATTGAAGTTAAAATTACAGAAACGCAAAATCAAATCAAAAAACGTCATAAAATACGCAAAGTAATATAGATATATCAAATATATATCAATGCCCATACTAATTTACTAATCGGTTTGTAAATTAAGCAATAGTTTTAAACAGATAAATCAATTGGATTCCACGATTCTTTATGCATATTTGCATGGAGTTTTTATAATATAACCCAAATTTTTTCTAAAAGACTAGGTAAATAAGTAAAAACACTTCAGTCTGTAAAATTAACAATTCTGGATAATTTCGACAGATGCAAAAAAAAAATAACGGGATTTAATTTTCTTATAGATTTGTATCCATATCAAAAATTTCAAGTCAAATGTAATAACAGTTGGAAATTATCAAATATATTTAAAGTCAAGTAGGTTTGTGCAACAGGTTTGTGCAACATAGATTTGTCCAATAGGTTGGTACCAACCTATTGGACAAATCTATGTTGCACCATGGTGCAACCCTTTTCTATTAATTTACTAACCAGTCTGTAAATTATACAATAATTTTAAAGTAATATATTTTTCAGATTCCAATCATCATTAAAATTATTGCATAAACTATTGCAACTTATGCAACAATTTTAATGACAGGTCTATAAATTAAGCAGTAGTTTTCAAATGACCTCAAATTTTATTCTCCGAAAATAAGAAAATAAAATCCGTGGTCTGTAAAATAGATGATTCTGGTCAATGCCGATAGATTTAAAAAAAAATTTTTGAATTTTATTTCCTTATAGTTGGTTGGTCACTATGGAAAATTTCAAAAGTCAAATCTATTATTCGTTCAAAAGTATGACCCCAAAAACATATAAATTAGAAAAACTCTCGGTCTGTAAAATAGATTATTTTGGTCAATCCCGACAAATTTTAAAAGAAAATCTGTCGGGATTGTCGGATAGAGATTGTTGGGATAAATGTCAATAATACTTTCATTTTCAGTGCTTTCGCAGCAATTTTTCCATACTTAAGCCCTATACCTTAAAAAATCATCCGTTTTTTCACTACAAAAAGTTCAATAGCTTTTGATCCGCTTAACTTCAAAGGTCAAATGATCCCTCATTTAAGTCAAACCAAGCTCTATACAATGGCATCAATTATATTTGTTATATTTGAATATTAAAGTTATAAAAATATCGTGTAGACATGCTACTGTAGTAAAAGTAGTAAAAATCAAGCTTGTAGCTGAACAATCCAGACAAAACACTTTAAAAAAATAAAAAATTAATGCCTTAAAGTCTTTAATAAAGAATTATACTTTCAATTTTAATTGAAGTTAAAATTACAGAAACGCAAAATCAAATCAAAAAACGTCATAAAATACGCGAAGGAATATAGATATATATACACATAATTTCTAAATACAAATTCTTAGTACATAGAGAAAGAAAACATAAATAAATACTAGTTTTAAAAAGAGGAAAGGCTAAACTTTTCATTTCCACCAGGACACTTTTAAAAAACTATTTTTTTTCTATTAAAAAAAAACCTTTAACTTTTGAAACGCTGAGAACTAAAAATTTTTTGTATAAAAGTTAAAAAGTGTCCACATTCCATTAGATTCCTCATCCCTTTTTTAATATATACGGAAAGTTTTTTAAAAATTGGATATGATTTAGTACAAAGTAACCCTTACCTCTAAAAGCTTCGTAAGAATGGGCTACCTAATTAATTTAAAAATTAATTAGGCAAACTTTTTTGTCAAAAGTGGTCTCAGGATATTGATAATATCTAAGTGAAGCCATAAAAAGCATAGTACTTTCTATATATGGCTGGAAAGAGGTTGAGTAACACTAATTGATACAAAAAAAGGTGATTGCTTAACCCTACAAAAAGATATAAGAGACTAAAGTTTATCAAAATTCGGTGTTTTTCATAAACGTCAAATGTTTTTTGTAGCGACGTGGAATCGCTATCACAGCTAGCTTATATAACAAATAGGTTAAGAACCTAGCTAGCTAGGTTCTTGAGCTATATGATATACAAATATTAATCATAAATTGCAGAAATTGCCGTTGCAGTTTTCAAATTGTAAGCTCTCTAATTCTTGCGTGTTCCATTAGGGAATCATTTTTTACTATTTTTTTAATTTAAAGTTTTTTTAAATTTAAAATACGTTAAGATCATTTGTTTTATATGTATGGTATATATGATAGCCACATATACTTTTTTTACGTATTTAAATAAAGAATATACCACATTACAACACATAATTATGTAAAGTGCATAATGTGAGCCACTGACCATCATTATATACATAAATCATAACCTTTGTTAGAATTTCACACTCTAACCCCACTAATAAACAGTATGATCATATGTGGGTCACATATATCTTTTTTTTCGCGAAGATTATATTACATAACCAATAACCATATTGAAAATCAACTCGTTTATAAGGCAGTTTAGGTCAATGCAAAAATTTAAAAAAATGTATAAACTTAAACTAAATTAAATATATTAGTTAATCGGAAGTCCGCACGTTAATCTGAAGTTCGCGCGTTAAGCGGAAGTACTTTCGCACGTTAATCGGTAGTACTTTCGCACGTAACCATCACAGAATTTTTTCAGAAAGGCATTTAGATATTTTATAAACGTTTTATGATGTTTGATAATTTTCTAATTTTTTTAATTTTTAAACGTCAGGATTTACTGTGCAAACTACTTCTCCAAAGAATTAGTTATTTACATTTTTAGTAAATGAGATATGTTTAACGGTTCAATTATAATTATAAAAAAATTTAGAATAATGTCATTAGGATTCCATTGGAGGGTGTAAAGATGACAATATGAAAGTCTTTTAAGGTGGTATACCAAAAAATATTCAAAAATGTTTAAAACTTAAAAATTTTATAAAAATTTCATTTTTATGTAAAAATGCATAAATTGAGAATGCTATTTTGTACTTTTTATTTGTTATATTGTTTGTTATTTGTTATTCTTATTTGTATTATTTTTTTCTCTACCTAATTTTTTTCTTTTCTATTTCTTATATATATTTTTAATGAGTCCATTCAAAAACTAATTAATTGGAAGTGAATTTTAAAATTGTTAAACATTATTCACTAGAAAATTATAAAGAAAGAATATTTCTTCAAAGTTTAAAGTGATTCAAATTACTGCTTCTTAAGTTATCACGTTTTTGAAAATGCAATTTTTGTCAAAATTCTAAAACAGAGAAAATGCGATAGTAAAATTAAAACCATTCCGACTTTAATTTAAACAAGAACCGTTATCGATAAAGGACTACAGTATCATCGATAAAGGAACAACTTTGTCTTACCTCACTTAAAATGTTGTTTCTTTTTCCGAAAGAAAATTTTGTTTTTCATGTTGTTGTAAATTGGTTTTTTATATGACACAAAAACTTCTTCAAAACTAAAATGTTTGAAGCTCTTGAACAAAAAATCATATGAATTACCTGATCTAGTTGATCTACATTACCTGAGTATACATTGATTTTGATTTCCTTGTTAGCTAAAGAAATTACGTCTCTAGTACAACTTATTATTCATATTTTTGTTTTAATATATTAAAACTTGATTATTGTTTATTATATTAAAACTTGATTATTGTTTATTATATTAAACAGGACTTCCTTATCTATCGATTAATGTTTTTGTTAGGATTTTATTGTCTCCTATAGCCCCTACACGCCCCTAGTTTCAAATTTCTTTTTATCTCCTTTTTTATATATAATAGTAAAATGACTTCTTCCTGAGATGTTTTTACTTAACCGCTAATTAGAACATATTTATTAACATCGGTGTTTGGGTATAAATAATTTTGAGATATCTAACCATTTTAGGTATTTTTATAAAGTTTTTTCTATAATTTTTTATGTCAAAATATGTATTTTTTAAAAAACACTGGTAAATAATAAAAGTAGTATAACAAGATTACTTGTGGTGCAATGAAAGTTTGCAAAAAACGCGTTTGCCACCATTATAGCAATACGACACCAACCGTGTCATTTTATTGAGCCATTTGAATTGCGATTGGATCAATTGCAAATTCAATTAATTTGCTCCAGTTGGTAAGATTGGGCTAGCTAAATTATGCGACTTGGTAACAGTTGGTTACATGTGAAACGATACTATTTAATGAAAGTTAAATAAAAATAAACACAGCCTATAATATATTGTAAACAATAAATATTTATAGCTAGTGAAAATAAACGTTAATTTAAGTTGACTTCTTCGTTCTAGGAATTGCGCTTTGACTAGATAAATATTTTTCACAAAATCTTAAAAATTTCTGAAATGATTGTAAAACATCAACATTAATATCAATACCAACTTTCTACATGGTAACAAAATAAAAGCATAATCGGTGCTGTTGAAATTATCTAGGATTTTTAATTACACTACTGGTATTCACAAAATTATAAAATCCAGAACTCACAAAAATTAGACTAGCTAATAGCTGATGAATAGATAGGTAATAAGTATTTAAAAACGTTTAATTAAAAATTCAATATATGAGGTTTATGACTTCCTATTTTAGTTTTTGCTTCGTGTCATAATATAAAAAACATGTTACAAGAACATCGTTTCATGATTATAAAATGTTTTCAATAATTGTACTAAACTGTATGTACCAACAAAATGTTGAAGAGTATTATCCAAAATAAACTTTATTGTTTTCATTATTAATTTCATTTAAATTTGTGGAGAGCCTTCATTTGAAATGTCGTAACGTTTATTTTCTATCACAATCGATTTAGAATTTCTTTGATTTAAAGGCGTATCCATCATAAAAGAAAATGTTTGATCCTTTTTGTTTGGTTGCTCTCCGCAACACATAATGGTCAGAATGATTCGTTTTATTCCTTTTTTGATTTCAGAATTTGAAATGGAATATAGAATGGGATCAAAAATGCAGTGACAGTAAGACAACAACTTAGACCATTTAGCTGCAGTTCTGACGTTGTTATTGGATCTTTTGAGTTGCATCATCTGACAAGTGAAAAATGGTATCCAACATAAAAGAAACAGCAGAGTAATTTTCACCAGTTTTGCTGTTACTGCTAATTGCTGGTTTTTATAGAAGTTAAATGAAGATTCCGAGGATTTTTTGGCATTACGAACTTCCCATATTATTATAAAATAAGTTAATATCATTATCAGGGTTGGTATACCATATGCTAACACAAAAGAAATATATTGCACTTTACGGATGTCAATAGTATAAAAATTAATGACGTATATAACTATTGTATAAAGCCATACTAATGCAAGAGAGTAAATGCATTTTCTGGGTGTCACTGTTTGTAAGTGCCAAAATGGTTTAAAAATTGCGAGACATCTTTCCACAGATAATAACGCCAAATTTGCAAACTGGGCGTTTATCAATATAAAGTCAATGTGATTATACCAATTTAAAATAGATTCAAAAGTACTTTTTGAAGTGAGTACATATCCGTGAAAGTAACCTTCTTCGATTATTATTGTCACAGATAAGTGCAAGACTTGAGCAGATAAAGCTAGCAGTAAATCAATTAAAGTCATATGCATTGCGTAAACAGCGGTATTGAGCGATTTATATAATTGTGTTGTTGCCACAGCAACTAATACAGCTAAGTTTATAACTGTTGTTATCAGAAATATTAGTGCACCAAATATCATATATATTATATAAATACTGTATTTTGGAAATAATGGCTCAATGTAAAATTTCCATGTTTGATATTCTAATGACAAACACTGAGCTGTGAAAGTAATTAAACGAAAATTTATTGTTGTTAAACATAAAAATGTGGTACTCGATTTTGAAATTCTACTTGGTTCACAAAAACTATAAATAATATTTTTGTTTCCACCACAAGATGGCGCAGGGTATTGAAGAAAAGGGGTAGTAAAATTTTCCTTGCATGAAATTTGCTCTCCCGGAACAGTTGAAACTATGGACAGAGGAAACAGGTAATATAATACGACAGTCGAATTCATGTTTAAGCACACATTTATGTAAAGCTTGAAAAACTGTGGTAACACCATTATTAATATTCCGTTTATGAAGCCTTTATAACTTTACGCTTATAAATTTGAAGTTATAAAATGTTAACAAAAACGTTGGTTTGTTATTTTTCCAAATGCTTGCAAGCTTTTTTTTTTAGTTTTATTCAAGTTTGAGTTTTTCATTATAATTTCGTTCTTTTAAAGCTAAAATTTTAAATAAACCATTTTAACTTTAAGATACTTTTCTATTGACTGCAATGCTTAAACAACTGCTCAATTAACATTTTGTTCATTTTGTTGCTTAGTCAGCTGTTTACTTCATTAAAACTGTTTTAAAGACATACGGTATACGAATACAATTTCTTTGTTTATAATTCTAAGGAGTAAAGTTTTATGATAAAAAAACGGCTGAATCAATAAAACACTGTTTTAACTAACGTAACAACTGTTTGAAAGCGTGCGAAAATTTTCTCACCATAATGAATCGCTTAAAACAATTTATCTCCAAATGTTCTGTTTTTTTTTTTCAAGTTTATTTAGACAAACAAATCTCTATGACGATGTAAAACCAAATAAATAACTATTCAATTCATTAGCAATAGCATAAATAAAAAAATTAATTAGCATAGTTAAAATATATCATTAATTAGATTAACATACATATAAGAATTCCAATCGGGTACATGTTTCAATTTGGTTCATGAGGAATGTAAAAGCAATGTTGAGAACAATTTTGTACATATACTAATTATAGTAAACAATCACAATCTAATGCAGAAACACAATCTAATGCAGAAATTTTTTTATACTAAATATACTAAACAATCACAATCTAATGCAGAAACACAATCTAATGCAGAAATTTTTTTAAATTTATTTAAATGCTCACAGAAGTCCTTACGATTTTATCACAAAGCACTGCGGAGAGCATTGAGGGTAAGTTGGCGAATTTCGGGCAGCATCGAATTTCGTGAAAACAGCCTTTCGCATCAAAAAAATTACACTGACGATAATATAATCAAAGTGTTGTTTCATGTTTCAGTTAGTACAACCTTTCCACATTAAGTTACTGCTAACCCCATGTCGGTAGTCCTAATATTTATATTGAAAAAGCTATAATAACTTACGATACATCGGTTTTTCACGTAAAGTGAAAAGACGTAAATCTTTTTACACTTAACTTTTACACTTAACTGTACAAAAATGAAGCACGGCATTTGTTTGAAAGAAGTACTAATCGTTCACCTAAGTTTAACAAATATGTTTGAAAAGGTAAAAAAAAAAAAAAATAGTAATAAACAAATATTTTTTTGATGTAAAAAATTTCTGCACGAATTATCGAAAGCATTATATTTCGTGCATTATGCCCGAAATTTAATTTACACAGTATTAAATTTCGTGCATTATTTTATTTTTACCTAACAATGATTTTGAATGCTTTTATGGTTTTAACTATCTTTAAAAGTATTCTTAAGGTTGCTAGTGACGTTTTTAAGACAAAACAAAAAAGCAAACGGCTGCGAAATTATCCGCATGGCTGGATTTCTTTTAACTAAGCAATATTTGAATTCAAATTTCAACTTGGAGAACTATTTGTTTGAAGAACACCAAATAAAAGCTTCAGAGTTCTTATTACCAGAAAACTCTAGTAGAGTGTTTAATTTAGACGAAGCAGGGTTTCCATTAGCAGAGACAATGGGAAGGCTAAAAATAATTGCCTCAAAGGTTATAAAGAATGTTTATTGCATAGCCCCTGACACAAAAACGAAAGTAATAGTTCTTGGCTGTGTATACGGAGATGTAAACTACCAAAAACCTCTAGTTATATTTCAAGGAGAATAACTTCGTTACAATTTAGGCCATGTAAATCCATCAAAGTCCAATTCTTAATTGTTTTTTATTTTATTGGTTTATAAAAATTATAAGCATTTTTTAGTTTTCTTTTAAGCATTAACGAAAGATATATTTTCAATGCCATTTCAGAATAATATTCGACAAATAATGTTTGGGGCTTACCCAAAAGGTTTTTAGTGTAGCTTATATAACACTATAAAGTTTTTTAATATCGTCACTTGTATTTACAGGTCCTAAAAGGTAAGAGGGCCTTTTAACTTTTAGGACCTGTAAAAATATTTATCATTAAGCCCAGTGATCGAACCTATAAAAAAGCTTGATTGCTAGGCTAAATAAATAGCCGCAGGCCCCACGTTATGTTCCAACAAATCATATAAGTCAGACATTTAATCACTAGCAAAATATTTGCAAAAAACTATATTTGAATCAAGTATTGCATCTTGAATAAATCTACTAAATTTAACTTATAAAAAAAAAGTGCATGAAATTAAATTTTACTTCGTCAACTTGCACGAAACTGTGCAAATCATAAAAAAAAAATTCATAACAAAAACAAAAAAATAAATAAAACATAGTATTTAATAATTGCCTAAATTATTACTATTTTTAGATAAAACAGTTGGCTGCCTAAATTAAGCTCATTATACTTTTGGTGGCCGTTTGGTTATATATTCTATAACGTTTTCGGCAAATATTCAGCAAACTGTCCGAAATTCGCCAACATACTCTAATTCACGCCTCCTTCCGTAAAAGTGTCGCTTGTTGGGCGAGAGCCGGCGTCGAACCTAGGACCTCTGGGTTCTGAACCTCAAAAAATGTTTTTTTGGTATAAATTATTATGTGAATTGGAGTTAATTGGTATAAATTATTATGTGAATTGGAGTTAAATAATTTATACCAAAAAAAATGTTTTTTTGATATAAATTATTATGTGAATTGGAGTATTATATTAACCAATGTATCTTATAATATTCTTACAGAAAATCTTTCAAGATATTTGTTTTAATAAAAAAAGCAGTTAAACAGTTTTATCCAAAATTGGCTTTTATTTTTCATTTGTGTTGTTGTTTGTTACTATTTTACAGATAAATTAATAACTTATTTCAAACTTTTTATAGATAGTATATAAAATATTGACAAATAAGGGTGGTAAAAACGGCTAAATCTAAAGACCAAAAGTATTTCATACTAGAAACCATCCCTATTGAATCTGATAAGGATATACAGTAGAGTGGTCCTTAAAACATTTTTTTTTTAAATGTGTACTCTCTCCTTCTAAATGTATTTTATATGATAAAAGAACACTGGATTTTAAAGTTTTTTTGAATAAAAAATATTTTTAGTGGTGTTCTTGAACATTTAATGGGTCCTTAATATTAATAAGAAAAATGTTTTTCAAAAGTATGTCTAGTTGGGTTCTCAAAAAAAGCAAAATTATATAAAAAAAACTTCAAAAATAGTCATCATTTCATAAAAAAACTATTATTTTAGATTTTTGTGAACAGAAAATTACAAAAATTTTTGATTATATTTTATAATACACTGTAAGAAAGACCACACTCAATATCGTTTTAAATGTAAAATAAAAGTTAGCGTTGCTGATCAAGATGCTTTGCACAAACGACACTGGATTTTGAATGATCAAGAAAAGCGTCTTTTTTACTCCTAAACTACAATTGCAAAAAACAAAAAAAGGTTTCGTTTGGCTGAAAATTTAGAATTGAAAAAAAAGCAGTTATTCATATTACTTATTGTTTCTGATGAACTAATACGTGTTGGCAAAAAATTTTATCTATCTACTCTAGATATTGACGAAAAAAGAATTAGAAATTATCATTTAATGAGAAAAAAACAAACAAACAGGAACACCTTAACAGTATAAAAGAGGTAAAATACTTAGTTGAACTGTCCCAAATTACATTAAAGATTCTGTACGTCAGCATATTCCAGGGTCAACGACGCCGGGGGTACGTCCCCAACACACACATTTTTTCTAAAGGACCTTTTTTTTAAAAGAAAATTCAGGATATAGAGGACTATTTTTAGAATACGACTACTGTGTCCCCTCCCCCATTTTGAAACCCGTGTTGTCGGCAATATATTCTAAGCATTACCAGAATCAACAGTCACTTTTATCGCACAAGTACAAACAAAGAGTACATTCAAAAAAAATATGAATATGAATATTTTGTATGAGAAATATTGTAAAAAATTTCTGACAATGTTATTCCTGCAATAATAAGTATTTATAGATCAATATTTAACCCAGAGTTTAACATTGAAGTTAATAAACTAAAAAAGGAAAGATGTGATGATTGTGAAAATATGAAAATGCATCTAGCTCAAATGAAAAAACAGAACATAACATTCATACAAAGAAAAAATCTGAAACTAATGAAGTAAGTAATTGTGATAAAGGCTTGATAAAAGCAAGTGTGCTATTTGCTTTAATAACGGAAAATGTTTGAAACCTACCAACAGCAAACTTTTCCAACTTTTTCTACAAACAAAATTTGACTTTTTTTCATTAGACTGCACAATGTTCAATATCAAAAAAAAAAAATTATAATGCAGTCTGGTCAGAACTTACTAGTGGACAAACAGGAAATGATAAAGCTTGTGCTCTTCTTGTTCTACTCGATTAAATAGTTGCAGATGAATCTCACGTGACTGAAATTTGTTAATGGAGCGACTCTTGTGTGTTGCAGAATCAAAGTAGTTTACGATGATTACTTTAAAAAAATTTTATGCAAAATCATCCACAAATTAAAACAATCATTCAGAACTTTTGTGAACCAGGACATAGTGCTATCCAGAAGACAGTTTACAAAGTATTATTGAAAAAAATAGGGAAGTAGCTAAAGTTTACTCTCTAATTGGTCTTGCCAGAAATCTGAAATATATACCTCGAAAGAATCCAATCAAGTTGATTCAAATTAAAGAAGAGCAAATGATAGACTTTCAAACCGTTGCTAAGAATTATTCATTGGTTAAAAATGTTCCATATCCTAAAGTAAAGATACTTGAATACTCAGCTGATAAACCATGAAGTGTTGAATACAAAATTGAGTTTAATTCTGAATGGAATTTGGAAAATATTCTCAATTATAACACCAGACACCAAAATTCAAATAATGAAAAATTGCAAAAGTTTGTGCAACCGAAGGTGCTTTAATAAAATAAAAAATCTCTAAAGCAAAAGTAAAAAAAATCTAAAATCAATGTTACAATTCATGCCACTTTAAGACAAAGAATATATTTCATTGGTCCTACGAACATTCACCTAGTGTCAGGGCCGGATCAAGTATTTTGTTTTGGTATATGCGAGATTAAGATTTGGCACCCCCTAATATAAAAAAAACTGTATTCTTTGAAAATTTTTAAAAAACATTTTAAAGGTTTAATATTTTTATAAGTTTTTAAATAATTGGAAAAGTATTATTAATGTGACTGTTTCTTAAAAATTTAAATAAACAATTAAATATATTAGTAAAGTTAGTAATATAAATAAATCAATAACTTTTTACGAACGTAATTAAGAAAAAAATAAAATATAATGGTATATTTATTATTAACTTATCATATAAGACCTGAAGGTCTTCTGCGAGTCTCCGCGTTCTTTCTTTTTTGTATATATTTTCTTTTATTGTATAACGATTTTTAT